ACTAGACCTGCAAGGATGCTGCATTGCCTGGTCAAACAACTTGTCTATAGGTGTTAACTTTCTAACTTCCAATGTTTACCACACCTATTCACATTTACCAAACACTCTACTTACACCCACATAAGATGAACTGACTGTACCTTCAAAGTAATTGGTGAAAAACAGTGATGTCTTCAAAGTGGAGGGGGGAGGGAGAGGCAGAATGATGAAAACAGTGTTGTGTGATAGAACATACAAAGGAGGTGGAACCAATGTATATGATATCACATACACTTGCCACAACACTATTTCTGTCAGTTTAATAAAAGCAACAAGGTCTTAACTTATGTCACAGGATTATTCTGTGGATAATGCAAAAAAAGAGGCCAGTTGTACCACTTTAGCCTCCCTGAAAACAAAACCCAATATGCTAAATAAAAAGGAGTAACAACTTTTATCCTTATGCTATACAGGCCATCCAGATTCAGAGTCAGTGTGCCTCCAAATGTGTAGGGGCACACAGTGAGGGTATAAGCAGCAGCAGCAACACAAGAAGATCATTGTTTTGTATCTTTTTTGACGCTTCCCATTAACATCTGGCTAATCTATCAGAAACCAGACTGTCCACTGAAGCAATTTATAATACCTTCCAACCAGGGCTTTTTTTCTCATAGAACGCCCAGAACGGAGTTCCGGCACCTTTTTTGGGATGGAACCTTGTAGGGTAGGCAAAGCGGGTTGTATGATGTGTGTGAGATCCGGCACCTTTTTTTTTTTTTTAGAAAAAAAGCACTGCTTCCAACCATTATTCTAGTGATATATTAATGTGAACTGGCTTTCTATCTCCATAGTGCTAGCTGAGTGATACAGGTAGTCCTCGACTTATGAGCATAATTGAGTCCACAATTTCTGTTGTTAAGTGAGACATTTGTTAAATGAGTTTTGCCCCATTTTACAACTTTTCCTGCCACGGTTGTTAAGTGAATCACTGCAGTTGATAAGTTAGTAATCTGGTTGTGAAGTGAAACTGGCTTCCCCATTGACTTTGCTTGTCAGAAGGTCACAAAAGGGGATCCCATGATCCTGGGACACAGCAAAGGTCATATAGATGAACCAGTTGTCAAGCATCCATATTTTGATTGCATTATCATGGGGGATGCTGCAAAGATCATAACTATGAAAAACGGTCATAAGCCACATTTTTCAGTGCTGTTGTAACTTTGAACGGTCACTAAACTAACTGTTGTAAGTCGAGGCCTTCCTGTACTTTAAATCACTTGTATGGTTGTCTTCTACTGATATTCACAGACCATTAAAGGAAACTTGCATCCTTTCTTACCGTTGATTACAGTCTCTGATTAAGCTTTGCTTTGATTCAGGAAGGATTCACTTAGGTTCTTTATTTTCAGTTGAAAGTATTGCATTAGTACTAGCAGGATCCCCCAGTCTGCTGATCATCAGGATACTGCGTAAGAATGCTGCCTTTATTTTTCTTATTCCCGAAATCAAAAAGTCCCAAAAGTTTAATTATATAGATTGCTACAGGCATGTGGAAAAGGCATATTCAAAATCCAGGTACTAATTTCAGAAACAAATTTCTTTCAGCATTGCCACACAATAGTTCATGGAAAATTCTCTGCAGCTGAACAAGGGCAACTGAAATACTTTACATATGACATCCTGAAGGGTTATATATAATTAAGAGCAGAATTCATTGACTATTATCGGTCAATCTATAGTTTTGTGGAAACAAATATGAAACCTATACAGCTATATTTGTTCAAATATGTGGCATCCTACTGAAATTTTGCACCTTCATGATTAGTAGGAATTAGGTGCTAATGCCTCTCTTGCAGACACTGAGTATATTGACCAAATTATGAAGAAACTCATGCAAAACTGAGCAGGCCACAGCAAAATAGGGCAGATCGAATATTCCCAAAGCATTCTTGGAATTCCTTCCATAGGGTTAATGGTGCAGCCAGAACACAAACCAGATTTTTCCTCCCTTCTTTGCTGTTAGAGGCAACTATGGTGAATTAAGTGTGATTTGCATGGATTTTGCATATACAGAGTTTGGAATGTGACAGCAAAGGATAAGCTGTTTAAGTTCAAAGAAAAGTGTCAAAACTCTTGTTGGTATGTAAGGTATTGCACATCCCAATTGCTCTGTTGAGGATGGCATCCCTTTTGCATTTCTCCTGTTTAACGTTCTTTCTCTAAAGATTTTGAAAACAAAGAAGCACAGTAAACCATCAAATGTTTTGCATTCAGTGTCAAGGATAGGGTTGTTTCTGTCTTCCTACAGAGTATACTCATCTATAAGTTAATGTTTCCTAATCTCAGCAATGTTAAGATGTGGGGCTTCAACTTCCCAAGTTAATATGGGTACAAGATCAATAACATTACTATCAGAATTGGCTCTCCAATTAAAATTGTGTTCCTCTTTCATTCTCTATTATCCTTTTCATGTCCATTCTGATATATTCAAGCCAGATCTTATTGGAGGCCTACCTACTGAGCATAGGAGTTCCCGCATAGGAAAAAACATGTCCTGCTCCATTAGACAAATAAAATCTATGCTGTTAATGCCGGGACAGAAACCACTAACTTTAAAATTTATTTGAAACCTTAACTAGGAATAAGTATATACTGTCTGCATACAGGACACATTCTCATAGCTGCTCGGGTTAGTGGGGAAGACAAGGCACCAGTTGCACTTATTCAAGTGAAACCCAAAATATTCCATCCATTCTCCATCCATTAATGAAACAGCTTCTTTGGTTATGCCTTGCTAGCTTAAAGACCTTCTCCCCATCAGTGAGTGAGATAATAAAGATAGTAAAAGGGATTGTATATGAAAGGTGGTTTGCTGAATCTGGAAAGAGAGAAGTCAAACAAACATGAAGTATTGGCTTCAGTCTCGGTGAGCAACAGAGAAGCTTAGAGGAAGCATTATAATTCTCCACGTGATATTTTTTTTCTTTTTGGCCAAGTATCAGTTAAATCATATGGCATGAACGTTAATACTAGGCCTTGGGAGATCATAGGAGCAAAAATATAACACCTCTGGTAGCCACCAGCTGGGCTAACAGGTTTTAAATATATATATTCCCTTAAATATTAAGATGGCCCTTCTTTATTAAGGAGTTAAATGGAAAAATGTCTGAGTTTATAACAAGCTGCACTTGAATTTTGAGACTAGCGTTCAATTCTTTGAAATGCCAGATTTGATAATCTTTGGATGGAAAGATGATCAGAAAATCCCACAGCTGTCAGTTACACTGGGAAGTCAAAATAGCACTGGCAAAACCCCCAAATTGGTCTTTGCCTTAAAAAAAAAAAAGGATCTCGTGCCAACATCATGGACAGGGATGGCTTAATTCCTTAACAAGCTGAACCTGCTGCTTTCAGGAACAACTCAAAGGAATGTATGAAGCTCTTCTTAATATCCCTCTAATCCTAGGATTTGTGATGAAAACATTTATTCATTGCCCAGAAGGATCCTTTGAAAAGCAAAGTTGCTTTTGCTATTTATTGACTTTCCAGGTGGTTCTCTTGGTTAGATATTAGTTCCTTCCCTTTCTACTTTTCTACAATATTTATTATCTTGATCTTTGTAAGTTTGGAATAAATGGGATGACCTCCTATGCTGGCCCGAATCTAGCATCAGTATGATCCAGGTTCAGTTCACAGTGCAAAGTTCAACCACTTCCTTCCCACCAAAGTTTGCCTTTGCATAAAACACTAAAAAGAGGCAGTTTGGTGTAGTGGTTAAGGCATCAGACTAGAAACCAGGGGATTGTGAGCTCTTATCACACCTTGGGCCTGAAACTAGCTGGGTGACCTTCTGCCAGTCACTCTCTCTCAGCCCTAGGAAGGAGGCAATGACAAACTACTTCTACAAAAAACTTGCTAAGAAAACTGTAGGAACCTGTCCAGACAGCCTCTGAGAATTGGACACAACTGAGCAGAAGAAAAAAAAATCACTAAAACCAGTCAAAACAACACCACAGAATTCATCTAAAATGTGCTGCCAGTTCTTAAGGGGGTGGTACCCACTGAGACTGCTTTATTGAGATGGAGCATGATGCGAGGCAAGAAATATTGAGGATGAAATGGGATAAGCATCCCTTCTCCTGAGTTGGTCTCCTGTGGCAGAAATTTCTTTACAGTAGCAAAGTTTTAAATTGAGATTTTATAGAGCCCCAAACCCAGGATCTTGAGAAAAATTCTCAGCTGTTACACTGCATGAATAGGGATTTTTCCCCCACGCCTACTTATATTTTGTACTCATCTGCATTTTAATTAGACCCTCACAACCTCCAACTGTATATGGTTGTAGTTCTCCCCCATTTCCCTTATCCTACCCCCAAAAAGGACTACAGCTTTTTATAGCGGGGCAATTTTGGCAAGAACCACTTATTGGCACAATAATATAAGCATGCGTTAGAAACACAGTCATTGCATTTCCTTCTGACATCCTTTGCTTTAAAAGAGGAATTGGGAGTAAAATCACTAGATCCTACTGATTTCATTGAAAGAGCCATGCATTTAGTTGATATTGTTGCATTATCGATCGGAAAGTGCAGCCCATGTCCTTTTGATTTTGATATATCAGATAATTTGTCCCTCATTTAATACTCAGCCTCCAAGGACATTTGCAATCAAAGAAGAGCATGTGGAAAGACAGGAGCAGCCACAGATGGCATTTTTGTCCCACTGCTTCAAGTGTTCTTTTGTTATTCATGTGTGTTGCTCAGAGGGATTGAAGACAAAAAATCAGGCATGCGGACAGACATTGCATTGTTCATTCTGTCAAGTGATAATATGTTATACTGGTTTGACCCAGGAGAAAAGTGCAAGTTAAAGCATCATAAAAAGGAACACTTGTCAAAAGAATGTCACAATCATCCATTTTTATCTTATTTGGTTTGGCACCCATGGTATGCTTCCAGCTCAGTGCACACACACATATACACATTGGTAGACAAATATTTTATTAAAAAAAGTCTCCCTTGCATGCCCCCCATGATGACATCAGAATCAAAAATAGACAGAATAAGAATCTCCAGGAAGAGTGATTTTTGTCCCATTTGCCTGAGGGCATTTGAATTCCTTTGGACTTTTATTGGATCAAGTGTAAGTGTCACTGAAGCTAGGGTTATCATGTGCAACTGCTACACATTTTTGATAGGGGTGTGTAATGTCTCTCAATCTAATAAAGCTCTTTCTAAGGTTTCAGAGTCAAACACTGGGGCAAAAAATATATGCAGACATCTTTGGTGGGAGGAAGAAGGAGAGCATAAGAAGGCATTAAAAAGTCAGAGGAGTAAACCCAAAAAGTTTTGACTCTTACTGTGGCAAATAAAAGGGCAGCCTGCAACAGATTTCCACCAAACAATGTTAGCCCTTGATAGAAACGTGACTTTTCACCCTAACTTTAGCCAATATTACATAGTGTATAAGGAAAGCGCCTATAAATTAAACTTAGGTTTTTAACCACAAGCACAGAAATTAGGGCTTATAAAAGAAAAAGGCAGATTTAATAGCAATTTCCTCATGAGTTGTCAGGTGTGATAAAATATATGTGTACATATGTTTAGAAGTGTGGTGTCTTATTCTTTTATATCTTCCAGGAGAGGTTTTCTATTATACTTCACAGCAATAGCATTCTGCCTACACCAAACCCAAATTAAACCTTGTTTTTAGAAGCAAGAGTTTGGGATTGCACAATGCACAAGCTCTACACTTTGTTCTTCAACTACCATGTAACATTGTATCTATCACACACCGTTGCTTTTGGTGATTAGGACACGTTTGACTATATTCACCTGACTGAAAATGTGATATCTGTAGGAAAAAAATAGGATGATAAAAAGTCAAGTTTTTATTTATACATATATATTCTTATTTAAGAATACTTCCATCACTTTGTTTTCTTCTCTGCATATCACTTTACACTTTACACTGATGAAATAGAAGATTTCAGTAGTAAAAGATAAAAAGTTAAGTTTTTTTTCAGGGGATGAGAAGCATAAGCTTTCTCTCACCGAATAAGTGAGATATTAAGCATACTTAATATTAGCTGGATCATGCCACGTTTTCAGATAAGAGTCCATTCAACCCAATTAGTGAATATTTTCTTTATGGTACTATTATATTCAAAATAATCTCTTTATGGTACTATTATATTCAAACAAAATGCAGAGAAAGCAAAAAAAAAAAAAATAGGGTGGATTTTCCAAAGGTAGGTTTATGTCTGAAAGCGATCACCCTGTTCTGCTTTAATGTCAAAAAGTCTGAAACCAATTATTTCTGTTTGATTAATGAGCAAGTGAAAAGGATATGCTCTTCTTTACCATTTTTATGAAGAAGTCTTTGTATGATTTGAAGCCACTGAATTCTATGAACATCACTGCCTGGAAACATGTTAATAGAGAAACTTTGGTCTGCCTAAGAAAAATTGGGAAGAGGGCAGCTCACATGAAGTCCTTTCCCTGACATATTTCCTCTTTCTGACTTCTTACACAATTCTCCTCCTGTCGCAAGGCCTCCACTTGTTTACACTTCAGTTCCGTCTCTGGCATACAGAGTATTATTGACAGACAGACTGTTGTAGAAACTGGTGTTGAACTGGTTAAGAACTGAACTGCTATAGCCAAGATGACCAGAGGACATGGAATTGGACCATTCACTACCCCCATGACTGGGAAGAGGCGTGTATGTGTTGAAGCCTACCATATTCTGTCCCATTTTGTCCCCTCCGTCAGTGCCAAGTCCCAGGGGCACCGAGCGGCTCACTGAATTGGATCCGTTCACGTAAGCTGTCATGTTGGAGAGAAAACTGTTGAGGCAGGGAGTAGTGGATGGCGGTGGTGGAGACCGCTTTTCAGGTGAACTTTCGGTTCCTGATGAGTTTTCCAATATATCTTGGTGTTCTGGAGCCTTGGGACTGCCACTTAAGGCACTGTCCTCTGATTTGTCAGAAGCCAAAGTCACCGTGCTGGCGCTACAATCAGATTTCTTCTTCCTTTTTCGCCGAAAATTTCCATTGTCAAACATCTTCTCACAGTTTGGATCCAGAGTCCAATAATTGCCTTTCCCTGTTAGAACAAGAGCAAAAAAGCATAAATATAACTGTAGCCAACAAAGAGCAGGTTCTCAAGGCTTAGCTTGGCTTGGATTCAGAAAAAACAGCAGATTGGGCAACACCCTTTAAAAAAAAGGGAGGGAGGGAGGGAGGGAGGAGAGGCTGCTTGTATTCAAATAACCCTGGCCAGGCCCTGGCCAGGTTGCCTTGAGGTAAAAGTGAACTTTTATTTTAACAGTTTGTGCTTATCAGACACATACAAAAAAAAACAAACCCTACTTCTCCAACAAAATACTTGACAGACCCCTAATTAGCATCAGGAGAATTTAATGAAACAAAGCAGAATTTGACCTTGGGCAAAAGTCTGCAGATAGGAAGGAGGGAGGGTATTTGGAAGTGTCTCCCAGCAATTGCTTTATCCACCAAGAAATTGTAAGGAAGAGCCAGTTCATTTCACAGCCAAGGAAAGAACCACCACAGGAAAAATGCTCCAGTGTCTTTTACTCAACAGGCAATACTTCTCAGAGCACAGAATTATCATTATCTTTCTTATCACATAACTGTTAAAGGCATAGAATCAAAAACTGGTGAAGGGTGGCTTAGGGAATTATATTTGTGAATATCAAGTCATGTGAATTTGTTAAAGGAGGAAGCAGCTCTGCAGTTTAGTAGTCTCAAGCCATTTTGCCCCAGGGACCCACACTGTCTTTTACTATCAACTGGCTTTTCCTATGCTGATCTAAAGCCCATCCTTGTTACTGGGGCACAATTATGATTAGATGAGTTCAAAGCCACTTGTAAAGCCACTTGTAAAGACCCTGCCTGTATTTACGTTGAGCAAAACAGAATCAGAATCTGCTCAGAAGATCTTTTGGCTGAAGAGCAAAGTGAGTATTAAGAAAACGTCTTACCTGGATCATCTTCATCCCGGGGCACCTTCTTGAAGCAGTCGTTGAGGGACAGGTTGTGACGAATGGAGTTCTGCCAGCCAGCCTTGCTTTTATTATAGAAGGGAAAGTTGTCTGCCACATACTGGTAGATCTGACTGAGCGTCAGCCTCTTGTCTGGTGCTCCATGGATGGCCATGGCAATCAGTGCAGAGTAGGAGTAGGGTGGTCTTACCAGCTTCATCAGCTCCTCTTGAGAAGGCATAGGGAGCCAGCCCATGTCATTCCCTGTCAAGCCATGCATGTTGGGCAAGAGCTGCCTTTGCATTCCATAGGATGGTGGGATGTATGGGCTGCCATTGGATCCTGGCAGGTAAGGTGGAGAATTAATGGAAGGTCCGTTTAACCACAAGTAAGGATTGGGTGCAGCAGAGTAATCCCCTGTTTCAAAGTTGGTGGGCCGTTGCGGACTGGGAACGTTCTGCGGGTGGAAGAAATTTTCATAGTAGATGTTCATTTCAGGTGGTTCCTGGCCGATGCTTGGAAATTGCGGGCTGCAGCGTGGAGGTGAGTGTATCTGTGGATCAAATGAGCTCATAATCTAGCTCTGGCAGTAGCCCAAGTTCCAACACACCTGTGTTAGTCCTTTTCCTGAGACAGGTGCATCATCTGTGCTAGCTAGCACCAGTACTTATACACCTGTAAATGTTTAGGTTTACTTTCCAAGACTCAGCCTCATGCATCCTGATAGGCTGGAGATCAGGGTGATATCCCTTTTTTGGAATGCTGACAGCTCAAGCCAGTAATAGATGTCACATTAACCAAATTTGAAAGTTACAACTGTTTATCTTTTTTAAATGAATGGAGGAATTTTCCACTAGTATGATTGACAGGAAGAAAGCCGAAAATTACTTGCAGGTAAAACTGATGATCCTGTTCTTCAAATTCAGTTAGACCACAGCAAAGGCAGATTAGAAACCTGATATTTTTTTCCCCAAACTTTAGAGTTGCAAAGGCAGATGAGAAACTTAAAAAAAAAATATTACTATTTCCCAGTTCAGGAATCCTCAAATTTTACACTATCAAAGCTATTATCTGTGGATTAAGTAGGGAACAAATGTTTTACTTGCTTAGAAGCCATTCAGTGACATAACAAACCTGAGGAGGTGTTTGCTCAGGGAAAAAAAACAAAAAACCTCTCACAATGTTCAAGGAAACTTCTTGTCTGGTGAGAATGCACAAGAATGTAACTCACCGTTTTGTTATTATTATTATTATTTTTGTCATCTTGGCCTGGTCATAGCAGTCAGAGGAAATGACAAAATCTTGAAGCTTATACATTAGGATTAAACAAACAAAGCCTATGTCGGGTACTTTTCAAGTTTACTAGTTTTCATGGTTTAGGAAAATTGACTTTTAAAAAACAATGTCAAATCAGACTAATGCATATTTACAGTTGCTTCCTTTTAATGGGCACACTGCCTACGTCTTCATCAGATACATGACTCCCAGAAATGTCTTGAGTGCTGTTTTTCAACATGAAGATATAAATGATAAGGAAAGCCACATAACATAGATTCCCTACAGGAAAAAGACAGCTTTCTGTGCAAAACAGAGAACAACGGGAGCAAATATACCGAACTGTGTCTGCAGAATGTATAATTTTATTTGTCATTTAAAGTTCTAAGTTAATGGTAAAAAAAAATCAGCAGCTATGTTATAATTCTGCATAAGTCTTGCATTATGCGTAGCATATCCAATGCCTTTCTATTACCATTTTCTAAACTTTTTCGGCAGTTAAGAAAAGGGATGCTAGAACGGATTACATATTCAGGAAGAGATGGGGGCCAGGCTTAACAAGAGGGGAAGGAATCAGGAAATAAAAGGAGCTGGGCTACATCACACTCATGATAAAAGTAGGACTGTCTATGTTTGTTTTAAAAACATTAAGTCCGTGTTAAGCTTTCCATTTTAATGTCAACACGTTCCCCACTGCAAAATGTCAAAAAACCAGCCAGAAGATTTTTACTGAATGTGTCTAAGAAAGGTCCTGAGATCTAGAGTTGCTCACCATGGTGCAACACACACAAATTGGTGAAGCTTTTTTTGTTTATTTATTGCTGTGATAAGTGCTCCTTCTGAGTTTCGGCCTCCCTATATGTTTTTCCCAAGTCTGGTAGCTATGCATTTGAGGGCTCATAAAAACATAAGATAAATAAATGAATACCCCACTGAAAATATTCTTTGACAGTCTTGAAAGAAAAAAAAATGCTGTTGTTTATTATTTTTTTAAAAAATCAGTCAGGGTAATTCCTTCCATTAGGGGGGATTTATAATTTATCCAATCACCCTAAAGATCAAATTTTACATAAATGTGTCTCAGAGGCTCCATCGCAATATAACTCCCGGATCTCCCCTCCTTCCGCCGCGCCCTAAAGACATGGCTCTTCCAACAAGCGGGATTGGCCTAGGGAATTTTTAGTGGGGTTTTTAAGAGAAATTTTAATTATATAGGCCATAGTAAATATTTCTTTTTAATTTGGTTTTAAATTAGGTATTTATTGTAGTATCTGTTTTATAAGGCTGTCAGCCGCCCTGAGTC